TTACAAGGCCATTTATAATGTGCTTAATGATTATGTTTTCATACTTTGTTAATGATTTATTTTTGATTACTAAATTGCATTATTTACAAACCAGTTATTTAAGAATAGTTGGTGGTTTTTTTTTAAGATCATTCAGAATGCGTAGGTAAATTATTTATAAACTATTCAAATTAGATTAATATAGGTGATACTGAAAAAACACACATTTTTCATAAATTCACATTTTAGTGGATGTTTTCTATAACTCATGTTAAAATGTATGAATGTCATTTCCCTCGTGTTATTTTTCCAGCTATATTGTTTTTTTTCTGAGCAAAAATAATGACATTCATACATTTTTAACATGATTTATAGAAGACACTTACTAAAATGTGGTTCAGTGTAACAAAAGTTTATATACAAATTATCTTGTCATTCAGAACAAGAATAATTTGACTCTTTTCAGAGTCATGACTCATTTTAAGGATCACAGTGTAGCCTGAAAATACTAATTCATTGTCATTTTTAATCCTTATACTTTGCCATTATCCTTCAAACCACTAGGTCTTACCCTATTTTTATCAACAAAAAGCGTTAATAGCAGTCCAAATAAGGGTGTTGTTTAATATTTGCATAAATGTCACTCTGAATGATGATGAAGCTCTTTTACTTTTTTATTTACAAAAGTTATTTGAAACATTCAAGTAGACGCTTGTATTTAATATGCTTTATGTGCATGTAATATGAATTTAATTTTGATGCAGGCGCTAAAATAGGACATCTCAACTTTGATGCATGTTAAAATGGGAAAGATGCAGATTATGCATCTGCAATAATTAATGTAGCTCAATTTAATTTGAATATTTTCTTTCATATTTATTGTTCTCATATGAGGCTCAATGAGGCTCAATCATACAATATACTCGTTGCAGCAAGAGGTAACCATGCATTTCTCTAATATGGAAAAGGCAGCTTTGACATTTTGTTCTATTAGAAAAAAAGGTCTGATTTTTATGCATTATGAGCGTGGGCTGATGATGACAGAATTCAAATGTTCTGGGCAATGTACAACATGATTTGACTAGCCAAATGAAGACATGTTATTTCTGCCATAGTTTTCTACACAAACACTTTTGCACAACCCAGAGTGCAATACTACTCTTTCTGCTAGAATCAAGGTGCATCATTTTCAAACAATGTTTCAAAAAAAAATTTAAAATCCTCTGGAATAAAAAAAATTCCAGTGTCAACAACCAAAAAAAAAACATTTTATAAAAGGCACAATATGTAAGATTATTTTCATTGACATATCCAAAAACTACTAGAACAAAATATTTTGCTGACTTTTGTACTTCCAGTTAAAGTCAGAGTTATTAGCCCACCTTTGAATGTTTTTTTCTTTTTTTAAATATTTTCCAAATGATGTTTAACAGAGCAAAAAATGTCTCAGTATGTCTGATAATATTTTTTCTTCTGGAGAAAGTCTTATTTGTTTTATTTTGGCTAGAATAAAAGCCATTTAAATTTTTTTTATTAACTATTTTAAAATCAAAATTATTAGCCCCTTTAAGCTTTATTTTTTTTGACCGTCTACAGAACAAACCATTGTTCTACAATAACTTGCCTAATTACCCTATCCTGCCTAGTTAACCTTATTAACTTAGTTAAGCCTTTAAATGTCAATTTAAGCTGTATAGAAGTGTCTTGAAAAATATCTAGTAATTTATTATTTACTGTCATCATGGCAAAAATAAATAGGTTATTAGAGATGAGTTATTAAAACTATTATGTTTTGAAATGTGTTGAAAATATCTTCTCTCCGTTAAACAGAAATTGGGGGGAAAAATAAACAGGGGGGTTAATAATTCAGGGGGGCTAATAATTTTGACTTCAACTGTACATTCTCCAAAATGTCAGAGAGAATGTTTAATTCAGAAAAATAAGCCATTTTAAATGGTTACTTGGACCATGTCTTGTATCGTACTCTTAATTAACTCTTGTTTTTTGATAGAAACTGTGTAAAGAACAAATATGCTTTAATATGTTTTGTGTTTATTATGAGCACAGATAAGCATTAGAACAAAACGTTAATATGTATTTAACATGATAAAACAGCTCTGTTTCTTCCTTACATGATCTCAAGCAGAAGAATTGGGAACGGTGGACTGTGGCATAATAAAAGCTGCATTGTTTTTGTGCCATGTCGCGCTTGTCTCTCAGCAATTGCTCCAGTGCTCGTTTCTTTTGCCTGCTTTCAGCATTACTCTGCTTCATACTATCATGATAAGTCGTCTTGAATACAGGTACTTAGCTCGTCCATAAGCATGATTTCCTGTAAGATGTAATGAAGATTAATAACACACAATACACTTAATAACACACAATGTAACAGGTAATTTATTTAATTAATTAATTCATTTTTCTTCAGCTTACTCCCTTTATTTATCAGGGGTCACCACAGCGTAATGAACCGCCAACATATCTAGCACATGTTTTACACAGCGGATCCAGCTGCAACCCAGTACTGTGAAACACCCATACACTCTCGTTGACACACATACACTACAGCCAATTTAGTTTATTCAGTTCACCTATAGCGCATGTGTTTGGACAGTGGGGGAAACCGGAACACCTGGAGGAAAACCCACGCAAACACAGGGAGAACATGCAAACTCTGTAAATGACAACTGACCCAGAACTCGAACCAGTGACCTTCTTGCTGTAAAGCGACGGTGCTAACCACTGAGCTGCCGTGTCTTAATTATTGTTTTTTGCAACTGATCCGGTACGTCATCAGGCTGCAGTGGGGGGCACACTCCATTTTTTACCATTACCATTCTCCTGTCATCCTGTTTAAGTATTTTAAGTATGTGTTGGGGATATCCCTTATTTTCACATCCAAATGTTGACAGGTATGCAGTTGTTTAGCCATGTCTACAATTCTGGACTTAGAAAGCTTTGTAATTGTGCTGCACCTTTCCAGGCTCATGTAAAAACACAACTGCAACTGCAATGTATTGTAAAGTGTATTTATATAGCACATTTTATTGTGTCTCGTCATACACCCAAAGCGCTTCACAATCATGAGGGGAGATCTCGCCACATCCATTTCAATGATGCAAAGGCAGCCACAGGACAACGATGCCAGTGTGCTTACCACACACCAAATATTGGTGTAGTGGAGAGACAGTGATACAGCCAATTCAGTGGATGAGGATGATTGGGAGGCCATGAAGGGTAAGGGCCAATGGAGGGAATTTGGCCAGGACACTTTTACAAGAAGTGCCATGGAATTTTTTAATGACCACAGTGGATAAGGGGCTCGTTTTAACGCAGGGGTCACCAATCCTGGTCCTGGAGGGCCGGTGTCCCTACAGGGTTTTGCTCCAACTTGCCTCAACACACCTGCCTGGATGTTTATACCAAGTAAGAGCTTGATTAGCTTGTTCAGGTGTGTTTGATTAGGGTTGGAGCTAAAATCTGCAGGACACCGGCCCTCCAGGAACAAGTTTGGTGACCACTGGTTTAACGTATCACCAGAAAGACCTTGCTTGCTGACAGTATAGTTTCCCCTTCACTTTACTGGGACTCACACGGACTGCACAGTTGAGTTCCCCTGCTGACCTTACTAATACCACTTTCAATCTAACACCAATCTAGTTTTTCCATGTGGTCTCCCATTCAGGTACTGACCAGGCTCAGCCCTGCTTAGCTTCAGTCTTGGGCTGCAGGGTGACATGGCTGTGTACCCGACAGTTCTTAGAACTGTTTGGCATAATAGTGGAAAAGTAGCTATTTCATTTTTCTATGAGACTGCATTGTAATAAAAACACTTTCTGTATTTTTTTATTCACAGGTATTTTTCCTTTATTTACAGTTGTGAATAGTATGGGACCTTGAGCTCTGCTTTGTCGACTTTTAATGTTGAAAATTCAACTCTTACTGTTCAGCAAAGTGGCTTTTATTGAAATTTCAGAAGTTTGAAATATAATAAAAAAAAGAAATAACAAAGTAGAGAAATAAGTCTGTGAAATAACAGAAACTGTACTGGCAGTTTATAACACGGTTTTTGTACCATGATATACAACACCAACCCAGACAATATACTGTATCACTTTAAACTATTAAAAATGTTCATAATAGTCACTTTTTTAAACTTTTCAAGGTGGACAGTTGTTGGAAGAAAAATCAAGGTCCCATAATGCAATTCAAAAGCATAAATGAACACATTAATAAAAACATCCATCACAAAATACATAAACTGCTAATTTATGGATATTTTTCAACTTAGGCTCACTCTGACAACGTTGCCATATAAACATTTCTGGAGATCATAATTTATGTAGCCATAAGTACGTGTGGCTTCATTTTTTTTGTGAAGAACGGTGGATAATTTCAATCTGGGCTTTTGAAAACAGTTTTGGTTTGGTTTAGAGAAGGGCAAGGGTGGGTCAGTCGATCATTCAGTCAGTCAAACAGTCAGTCGACAGTGGCCTCTGGTGACTTTACGAGAGAAGAGCAGGTGCGAATGGCACTCGCAAAAAATTTGAGATCTAAAAAGCATATACAGTGGCCTCTGGTGGATTTACGTGAGAACAGCAGGAACTAATAGCACTGGCGAGATAAATTTGAGATCTCTAAAGCATACACAGCAACCTCTAGTAGATTCGCAAAAATCAAAAACCGCAAAAAACGTAGCTCCTGGGACGTATTTGGCACTCTCCAGAAATTTACACAGCGGTACATAATCCATGAAAACAAAAAACTGCTTAGAAACGTAGCTCCTGGGACATATTAGGAGGTCTTCAGAAATGTATAAAGCGATACGTTTTCAGAATGAGGTTGATATTTTTACAATATGGGTTATAGAAATCTTTTGGAAGGAATTTTATGTTGTCCAGCTAAAAGTAAATCTCGCAAATACAAAGTGTTTAATTTCTGTCTTTTATGTGTGTGTGTGTGTGTGTGTGTGTGTGTGTGTGTGTGTGTGTGTGTGTGTGTGTGTGTGTGTGTGTGTCCAGTATGTTTTCTACACAGTGATGAAGACTCTTTACACACTGGGACACAGCCTTTCTCTCATCGCCCTCATCACCGGCAGCACCATCCTCTGTCTCTTCAGGTTGGAAACAAAGCCTTAAATAATTCCAGTAGTTGTGTCTGCTTTGTATTACTCTACAGTTTGTGTGGATGGATGAGCCTGCCTTATATTAATTGTAATCATTGAGGAGTTGAATTTGGCAGGCTTCTGAACGCCTATATTTTAAACGTTTTGACACAGAGGATAAACATTTTGCTTGGCGCAGAGCTTAAACCCGATAGTGTTTATCTAGCTGGAATGAAATTATTAATTTAAGGAGTTGTCTTGAGATGAGATAAATGAAACAGGGCTCAAGATGTCCTTTGCATTCTTCTCACAAACTAAGCATGAGCACAATTAAAATAGAAAGAGGCCGTGTTTATTTGTTGTTCTTGCTTTATCAGAAAACTGCACTGCACCAGGAACTACATCCATCTGAACCTGTTCTTCTCGTTCATACTGAGGGCCATCGCGGTGCTGGTCAAAGATGCCATTTTGTTTTCTCATGAAAACGGGGAATGTACAGTGCAGCCATCCTTGGTGAGTGAATACATCTGATCGATATTGGTGCAAGTACACCCACCGGCCATTTTATTAGGTACACCTGTCCAACTGCTAGTTAATGCAAATTTCTAATCAGCCAATCACATGGCAGCAAATCAATGCAGTTAGGCATGTAGACATGGTCGAGATGATCTGCTGCAGTTCAAACCAAGCATCAAGAAAGGTGATTTAAGTGACTTTGAACATGGCATGATTGTTGGTGCCAGACAGACTGGTCTGAGTATTTCAGAAACTGCTGATATACTGGGATTTTCACGCACAACCATCTATAGGATTTACAGTAAATGGTCTAAAGAAGAGAAAATATCCAGTGAGCGGCAGTTCTGTGGGTACAAATGCCTTGTAGATGCCAGAGATCAGAGGAGAATGGCCAGACTGGTTCAATCTGATATAAAGGCAACAGAAACTCAAATAACCACTCATTACAACTGAGGTATGCAGAAGAGCATCTCTGAACAACAGGACAGGACAGAGTTTGGACACCACTTGCTTAGGGAATACTCAGAAATGTGTGTGTGTGTGAAACTAAGGGGTTAAATAGTCTAGGTAATCAATGATGATGAGTTTTAGCTGTGAGTGTGTGTGTGTGTGTCTCCAAATAAATGTCAGCAGGAGTGATTGGCGCAATGATTTCTGGGATTTGCAGTTCAGCAGGAATACAGGAAGTAATCTCCAGCAGAGAAAACACTGCTGGTGATCACAACAATATTAGATAAAAATTAAATGTATGGTTTAATATAAAAAAATCATAATACTAAAGTATTTGGCATAAATAAATAAAAATAAACAGTAAAATTAATTAATTGATTGTTTATTTACTTATTTATTTTTATGAATAAAATGCTCAGTATAACAAATAGTAAATATAATAAAAAAGTACAGTTAACGCTATTATAATTATATTTTACTTATAGCTATGTATATTCTATATAATATAGTCGTATAAGTAATAATATAGTCATAAAAACTAAATAATAAAAACTAAATAAATTGCGTAATTAATTTTTTATGATGGATGATTTTTGAATTCTCTTTAAGAAGTCAGTAAAAACACTTAATTTAAATGTAAATAATATTTCACAACATTACTGATTTTATTCATTCATTCATTAATTTTATTTTTGGCATAGTCACTTTATTAAGCAGGGGTCGCCACAGCGGAAAAAAAAAAAAATGTTAAATTATTACAGGTTTTACAGAAACAGAAATATGTGAAGCACTGATGCTTTTCAGGAAGTCAAACCTACAAAAGATTTTCTTTAAGCTCCCTTTGCGCATGAATCTGGGATACAAGACAGTATAATAACATCAAATAAATTACACACTTCACCTGTAAGGGTCTCAATATGCTAAGCCAGATGAATAGTTGTCTTAAAACATTTTTATGCTTCATCAGGTTATTTCTTTCATCAGGTTATTTCTGTCACTACAGACTCTGAAATGACAAACCTCTTTGCTTGCCCCACAGTTTCATGAATGTGTTTTGATCATAGACGCTCTCCAACATAGGCTCATTCTGAAACATAGCCCTATATACATCTCTGGAGATCCCGAATTATGTAGCCAGAACTACACATGCCTGCATTTGGTCTTTAAAATGAATACTATGGGGTGGTATGACGTCGTTAATTTTTGCGCTTACCAGCTGACAGCTTACCCCCATATGGACGGCTTTCCAGTTACCAGTTTGTCCAGTAGCTCACCATGTACGTTGGCAGACTTGAGACTCACAGAGTCTGACAAAGAATGTTTTCAAACAAATAAAATAAACAAGTAAATAACAGGGTGAGGATGTGGTAAAATCTAAAAACGTGGTAAAAATCCATTTCCGAATCCTTTTCTTTTTCTGGATTGCTTTTTAAAACTGTCGGTTGGGTTTAGGGAAGTGGGTGGGCGGGTCAATTGGTGCTTTTGAAAACACTACCAGTTGGGTTTAGGGAAAGAGGAGGGTGAGTCAGTGGATCGTTCAGTCAACAGGGGCCTCTAGTGGATTTACGAGAGAACATGGCACTCACGAGAGAAATTTGAGAAATGAAAAAGCATACACAGCGGCCTCTGGTGGATTCTTGAAAACTAAAACTGCAAAAAACAGTAGCTCATATTTGACACTCCTGAAATGTATGTAGTGGTACGTTTTCAGAATGAGCCTAGGTTGACGTTCTCTGTGCTTCTGTTTAGATGGGTTGCAAAGTCAGTCTGGTCATCCTCAACTACTTCATCATGGCAAACTTCTACTGGTTGCTGGTTGAAGGATTGTACTTACACACCCTACTGATGGTCATTTTCTCAGAGAACAGACACTTCATCATTTACCTTCTGATTGGATGGGGTAAGTCTTCATTAGAAGCACTTGCACTGACCTTTATAAGACATTTCCTTTCTCCAAAATCCTTTGTTATTCTTCAGAATGGCTATATAGAGTGTTTTTCTCGGTCTATTAATGTTATTCATGTCAGTGTTTTTGCATATAAACAGGTAGTTGAGTAAATAAAGGATTATTTGAGTCTGGCAATTTTCCACTTCCCGCTGCATTTGATGCTTTAGCTTTCATCCTGTCTGACATGAACACGTGCGTGCATAGAAAATGATCCGAGAACACACACCTCTTCACGGTGTAGACCTGAATGTCTCTTCCTTAATTCATTCAAACACTTCTGAATAGATGTCGCTCACCACTCGGAGGAAAAAACAGCGAAGGGAACAGCGTGACGTGCCATCGGTCTTGTTCAGTCTGTTTGTCTTACATTATGTATTAGTTTGTCTTTGTAGTTTGTTTGTGTCCCTGGAGTTTCCAGGCGAGAGAAAGGAGAGCGGGATCTTCATGCATTTCTGGAGAAGCTGATGGGCGGGGCTTATTAGACGCATCACATCAACACTTTATTAATCTTCTCTTTCATCGTGACAGTGACGACTAACATGGCCTCTTTAATCATGTTCTGTTTACCAGCATTTCCTCTCCAGCTCTACTAATGTGTGGAGAGAGTGACCCTCCTCCTCCTCCTTCTGTCTGTCTGTCTCTCTCCATCCATCCATCCATCTTTCAACCTATCTATCTATCTATCTATCTATCTATCTATCTATCTATCTATCTATCTATCTATCTATCTATCTATCTATCTATCATCTCTATCTCTCTATCTATCTATCTATCTATCTATCTATCTATCTATCTATCTATCTATCTATCTATCTATCTATCTATCTATCTATCTATCTATCTATCTATCTATCTATCTATCTATCTATCTATCTATCTATCTATCTATCCATCCATCCATCCATCCATCCATCCATCCATCCATCCATCCATCCATCCATCCATCTATCTATCTAACTGTCTGTCTGTCCATCTGCCTTTCTTTTTGTCTCTCTATCCATCCATCCATCCATCCATCCATCCATCCATCCATCCATCCATCCATCCATCCATCCATCCATCCATCCATCCATCCATCCATCCATCTTTCTACCTTACTAGCCAGCTATCTTTCTGTTTATCTCTGTCTTTTTATCAGTTTATCTATCTGTCTGTCCATCTGCCTTTCTATCTGTCTCTCCATCCATCCATCCATCCATCCATCCATCCATCCATCCATCCATCCATCCATCCATCTTTGTAAAATTTTAGCCATCTATCTTTTGTCTGACTCTTAATCTATCTATCTTTGCATCCATTTGTCCTTATTTGTTCTATCTATCTATCTGTCTGTCCGTCCGTCCGTCTGTCCATTTGCCTTTTTTTCTGTCTCTGCATCCATCCATCCATCCATCCATCCATCCATCCATCCATCCATCCATCCATCCATCCATCCATCCATCCATCCAGCCAGCCATCCATCCATCCATCCATCCATCCATAAACTCAATCCATCTATCTTTCTACCTTTCTAGCCATCTATCTGTCTGTTTATCTCTGTCTTTCTCTTTATCTGTCTGTCTGTCTGTCTATCTGTCTGTCTGTCTGTCCGTCCGTCTGTCTATCTATGTCTGTCTGTTTATCTGTATTCAGTTATGTTTACATTGATTATATGTAAAGGTATGCCACCAGTATGCCTTCTGATATTTGCTCATTCCCTCTCCTTCCCCCCAGGATTCCCCACCGTGTTTGTGATTCCATGGATTGTGTGCAGGATTTACCTCGAGGACACAGGGTGAGCAGTCGAGCCCAGCATAATCAGACAGTGACAGAGCTCACACAAGCCTCTTAATAGCGGATATTTAAACCTGAGAGATTAAAACGAGGCAAAAGAAGATGAAACGCATTCCCCCGTTTGCTACCGCTGCTATGAAAGCACTTGTAACTCTTTGATGTCTACTCTTAATAGATGCTGGGAGAGGATCGACAATCCGATTCCCTGGCGCGTGATCAACTGGCCAATCATGGCATCTGTCATTGTGAGTATAACCTCACACCCGTACTTCTAAACACACAGACCAGCCTCATACTGTATGCATTATGTCAGGCAGGGAGGGATTCTGCCAGCAAAGCAGACGAGGGGATGTGCTGAGTCTCACAGACACTTTCCTGGATAAGACATGAATGCAGGCATGTCAGGAAGAGCAAGCAAACACGCTGTCACAAGCGCCTTTCTCAGCACACGTGCCAGAGCTCTCTCTCTCTTGTGCCATTTCCATTTTGCAACTCCTCACCTGCAGAAGATCAAATGTCTCTGGACAGCATGATGGCTATGTTTGACAGCTTTGCATCCAGGTCAAAATGTTCCTGTTACTCAGTCCTCCAGAGCCAAGAATGCAATAACAACAGAAAACGTCATAGCTTTTTTCTGCCAAACGTGCTTAGTTCTGGTAATCCACGTGTTTGGATCGCTCTTTCACAGAGCATTACATACCAAATTGTCACTGGTAGAGGGAATCGCTGGCCAAACTGTTCTGTTTGTTTTGGTTTGAGGTTTTACGGCGGGATTAATTATGAGGAACAGAAGCAGGTGCCCTCTTTTGTTTTTACTATCTGTCTGATGGATTTAAGCAAGATGGAAATTGAGGACGATCATTTACATTAGAGTTTACACGTCTGGCAGAATATATTTAAAACAACTTTTGGTGCAATTAAAGCATGCAGAGAAATAATTTTCAAATTTGGGGCTGCGCAGTATTGGTAAAAATCTGATATTGCAATATTCTTTTTTTCTGCAATAAATAATGTGATATGAATACAGTAAGATGTTTTGAATAGCTCTGTTTGGCTGTTTTCTATGGAGTCTAACATTGTTTAGGTACAGAAATTGAATAATCACAATGCAAAAACATGCTTTTCTTACTTTGCTTTGTCTCGTTTCTAGTACAAATATCCAAAAATTCTTAGAGCAAGTAAAAAATATTGTTTAATTTTCACCATCAGAAAAAAATAAGTGAAAAAGTTTTGGGTTATGGGGTAAGTAAAATAAGCTTGTTTTCGCTTTGAAATTTAGAAATTTGGACCAGAAACAAGACAAATATACAAAGTAAGAAAAACAATTTTTTGCAATCATATATATATATATATGCCATATAAGTGAAGTTTTACAAACTGATTTCGAGAGGAGGATGTGATATGATTGATTATGGCTGGTCTCTCATCCGTAATCATTCGTAAGGCATTCGGATGAATCCAAACTCACTATAATCAGCCCGTCTAGTATTACTCCCTTATCTTCATTTTTTGAAGAATCCCCCCCATCCACCCATTTTCTTCCTTTACCAGGGTAGCTCTTGAGAACTACCTGATCCCATACCCCCTTACATGCTCATCCACCAGGCTCAATTATCTTCGAGCTCAGGGTTCTCTCCCGGTACAAAAGGCCAAACATGCTATTATTATCAAGCAATATCTAAGTGTGAACTCTTGAAATACAGTGATTGAATACAATTCTGTAGCTTCTGGTCAAGGATAATTCCGACTCAACATTGCATATCTTTGCGATGTGACAATTGTGGATGTGTACATTGCGAAATCAATGCTGGAATTATATATTGTGCAGCCCTACTCTAAATCATACTCTATTCATACTTTTAGATACCAGATTAACACATTCACTGCAAAATTAGAATCCTGAACAACAAAACCAGTCATAAATGTCAAGTTTTAGGAAATTGAGATTTATACATAACCTAGAAAGCAGAATAAATGAGTTTTCCATTGATTTATGCAGAAACACTCGTCTCTCTATATGCACCACACACTTTCATAAACACCACGTTACAAGAACTTAATAAGAAAAACAAACGTTTACTTGCAAACGCACAGCGTTGTATAATATTATGTAAAGTAGGGCAACATGGTGGATCAGTGGTTAGCACTGTCGCCTCAGAGCAAGAAGATTGCTGGTTCGAGTCCTGGCTGGATCAGTTGGCATTTCGGTTTCCCCCACAATCCAAAGACATGCACTACAGGTGAATTGAATAAACTTAATTGGCCATAGTGCATGTGTATAAATGAGTGTGTATGGATGTTTCCCAGTACTAGGTTGCAGCCGGAAGGGCATCCGCAGTGTAAAACATATGCTGGATAAGTTCATTCCACTGTGGCGACCCCTGATAAAAAAAAGGGACCAGAAAGAAAATGAATGAATGAATTATTAAGTGCTTGTTTAGTCTTATGTGTATAGTCAAATATTTCTAGATTATGTATAGTTAGATTAATTCTCCAGTAAGTTTATTTACAATGAAATGGACAAAAATGGAAATGATTTTTTAAATAGTTTTTGGCTATTGGTAAATGATACCAATAAAAGTTTTGTGGTCCAGAGTCTCATTTACTCAAATTAATGCCATTCTGAACTTGTAAAAATGTTTGGAATGCAAATTAAGGTATTTTTTATGAAATCTGTCTGAGAAATTTCTCTCCTTCAATGTCTATTCTCCAAAGACTCAGAAAGTTTAGCCAAAAAAAAAAAAAAACATTTTTCTTTCAAGCTTTTTATCACCCTCATGTAATTTCAAACCTGTACAAACTCGCTTCTGTGCAACATGAAAGAAGACATTTTGAAGATATTTTTGTCCATACAATGAAAGTCAGTGGGGTCAACTCCGGACCCATTTTGCTTTCATTGTATAGACAAAAATAACTGAGACATTGTTTCTCTTCCACTGAAGAAAGAATATCATATAGATTTCCAATGACTTACTGTACAGCCTCCCTGCATACATTTCTTTCTTAAAACTCATCTATGATCATTAAAATGTGGTATTTGTGGACCATTAATATGCATATTTCTTATTTTCAAGCTGACAAGATTAATTACATGTTTGTTATGGTGGTAAACAGCTCTGCAGGCGCAGGACGTCATCATGACATCAAATTGATTTAGGGATTGGGGAGCCCAAAGGAATTCCAGCCATGGGGCCCAAAAGTCCTTAAACGAACCCTTATTACTTTTATTTAAAAAAAATTTATTTAGCTGTTTTTTAAACACTCAAACTTCTTTTCTATGCTTGATCTTATTGCAATCTCTACATTTTAAATGATTATTTTAAACTAAAAATAAAGATGTATAAATTTGACTACTGGACTGCTCCATGGGGACAAATTTGTGCAGATTTTAATTTATTATTTTTATTATTATACAATGAAATATTTATAATTATAAATAATAAAAATAATAAAATAATACAAATATTACATTTATTTTATATTAAATAATATTTAATTGTTTTAAATTTTTGTTTGTTTGACTCACTATACAAAATATTATAGAAAACATTATTATACATAGTTTATAGGTAAAATTTATACTTCTAGATATTTATTGGGGGCCCCCAGATTTCCTGGGGCCCTCAGCGGCCGCTTGCCTGGCTTATTGATTAAATACACCCTGGACGTTGTACCCCAATGTCGTGGAGATGTTGGATTTTGTTTGGAAATGAAAATCAGGTTGACGTCACAACCCAAAATCAGGCGGAAGTCAATGACCAACGTCTAACCTAAAATCCACCTAAAATCAACCTAATATCAACGTCTAATCATGTTACACCTTGACGTTGTGTGGACATTATCACTATGACATCTACTGTATCAGACGTTGGATTTTAATCACTTTCCAACACAACCTAAAATCAACCAAATATCAATGTAATTTGACATTGTTATTGGACGTTAAAATAACGTCCTTAGACGCTGGCTAGACATTGAATTTTGGTCACCTGACGTCATGACCTAAATCTATAATATTAACATCTTAAGAATTTGTGTGCCTACTGGGAGGGGATTTTAAACCAGATTTTAGTACACGGCAGCCAGAAATTTACTAAATGACAGTGACAATGACAGTATTTAGTTTTGGGTGAACCAGTCCTTTAATGTCCTTTAAAGTTTGTATGTGTGTGTGTGTACAATAATCCTGTAAGCTGGTTCAAGTCTTACAGAATGTTTTGAGAAGTTCTTGTGTCAGATCCAGAGAACAGGACTTAATGTTTAGTCTGGATAATGTCATTGTATAAAAGAGGAGTGATATAAAATTGTGTTCTCTTCCTTTTCCGCCCTCTACAGTTAAACTTCATTCTGTTCATCAGCATCATTCGAATCCTGGTCCAGAAGCTGAGATGTCCTGACGTTGGTGGAAACGACCAGTCCCAGTACAGGTATTGCAAATGGATGCAAACTAATAGCATGACAACAGCCACCATTGGTTGAACCCGCTTCCATGCTATTCAGGTCATGACTGAGATTGTCCTTTTAAATTTATCAAGAGCTGCTATTCTAGCATGAAGCTCAGAAAGATGGCTGGAAATGGATGGCTGCTTTCCATTTTTATCCCATGTTATCTGTTGTACAGTGCTAAATGTGTTTGCATTGAAATGGGGGTGAAATATTTATGTCAGGATTTGTAGCATTTTTAGTTTTTGTTCTGCTGAGAGTTTCACGTTTTGCATCTGAGTGGCCTGTTGCTAATGCGTAAGAGGCTCTGCTCTATTTTAATGGCTCTCCCAGATACTCTTTTCTATTTTTATTTGTCTAAAGATGACTTTGGAGATCTCCATTGTGTGTTTGGAAATACAGTACATTTTGAGAGAGGTTGCCAAGCTGTTTCTATTTCACTATCCCTCCATCTCTAATCTTGTTCCTCCTCTTTGTGTCTTCAGGAGGTTAGCCAAGTCCACACTTCTGCTGATTCCTCTTTTTGGCGTCCACTATATTGTTTTCGTTTACATCATAGATGGAAATGGAGAGAGGGAAAACTATAAAATATTCTTTGACCTCGGTCTGGGATCCTTTCAGGTGAGGAAGATGCAAAAGAACAGAAGATGCATTTGGTACTAATTAATAAAGTTTGGGGTCACTAAGATTATTATTTTCACTTTTAAAGAAATTATGGTTTGTTCTGTACTCATTAAAAATCTTATTAATTAGCTAGTTAACAAATAACATATTACAGAATGTTTGTTTCTCTGGTTGCAGAAACTCTTTTTTCTATTTCTTTTTATTAGTCCACTTACTGGCCATATTCCTAGTATCGGGTTGGACCCCTTTTGCCTTCAGAACTGCCTCAATCCTTCTTAGCATAGATTCAACAGGGTACTGGAAATATTCCTGAAAGTCTTTGGTCCATATTGACATGATAACATCACGCAGTTGCTGCAGATTTGTCAGCTGCACATCCATAATGCGAATCTCCCATTCCACCAAATCCCTTAGGTGCTCTATTGGATTGAAATCTGGTGACTGTGGAGGCCATTTGAGTACAGTGAACTCATTGTCATGCTCAAGAAACCAGTCTGACATGATTTGTGCTTTATGAAATGGCAGGTTATCCTGCTGGAAGTAGCCTTCAGAAGATGGGTACACTGTGGTCATAAAGGGATGGGATACTCCCGTACGTAGGCTGTGGCATTGACACAATGCTTGATTGGTACCAATGGGCCCAAAGTAAGCCAAGAAAATATCCCCCATGGCATTATACCACCACCACCCGCCTGAACCGTTGATACAAGGCAGGATGGATCCATGCTTTCATGTTGTTGATCCCAAACTCTATCTAACAGAAGCTATCATCTGAATGTTGCAGCAGAAATCGAGACTCATCAGACAGGCAACATTTTTCCAATATTCCATTGTCAAATTTAAGTAAGCCTGTGCAAATTGTAGCCTCAATTTCCTGTTCTTAGCTGACAGGAGTGGCACCCGGTGTGTTTTTCTGCTGCTGTAGCCCATCCTCCTCAAGGTTTGACATTCAGAGATGCTCTTCAGCATACCTTGATTGTAATGAGTGGTTATTTTAGTTACTGTTGCCTTTCTATCATCTTGAACCAGTCTGGCCATTCTTTTCTGACGAGGCATTTGCACCCACAGAATTGCCACTCACTGGATATTTTCTCATTTGCTGACCATTCTCTATCCCCATTCTGATGCTCGGTATGAACTGCAGCAGACTGTCTTGACCAATTCTACATGCCTAAATGCATTGAGCTGCTGTCATGTGATTGTCTCATTAGAAATTTGAGATAACAAGTAATTCGACACGTGTACCTAATAAAGTGGCCAGTGAGTGTAAATTACACCAGTTTGTTGGATCAACTTAGTAAGTGATCATTTTGGTCTTTAAATGGGATGGACATTTAAATTTAAAACTTTAGTTGAAATATACTTATTAAGTTTGAAAGTAGTAAAACCATCCTTTAAATTGTAATCAAATTTCTTAAATATAAGTTTTATTACTATTATTTTCAGATTCAGTAAATGCTTCATCGACACTTCAAAAACGAGTAAAAATCTTAGCGACTCTCAAACTTGTGACTGTTTCCTTGTTTTATTAGCATTGTGTCACATTGACTTTCTGTGTTCTTTCCACAGGGCTTGGTGGTTGCGATTTTGTATTGCTTTTTGAATAGTGAGGTCAGTCTGCATTCTTATTGATCTCATTAACGTATCTCAGTTTGGATCTGTTCCAAACCCTAGTGACCTCCTTACTGCTTACATAGACATAGGCCCTCATTAGTGAGCAATTTGGAGCACTTTGTATATGCAGCAACACACAACATAGAGCTATAGAGGAGTATGACATTCTAATAACATATTGGGTGAATTGAAAGCATTGATCAACTCAACAATTTTTGGTCATTTAATCTTGTCCGCTGTTATTTGATTTTCGCTGAGCTTGCAATTGCAATGTACACTAGGATAAGCTTCTCTGAAAAATATTTGTAGCAATATATAGAAATAATTGTTATATCTGAACAATCAATATGTTAACATGGACATTAGTAATTGAATGATTTGCCTAAATCTGAATAAGACAATAATATGGTTAAGGTGTTTACATGAGTTGCTTTTTGAATGTTTCTTTCATGATCCCGTTTTACATATTATAGCACATAATTTGATTAACTGCATTGCGTTACCATGCTATCCACATTTCCTCCGGAGTTTCATTTTCCATTTTTCGACTTTAACTGCAGTTTCACACTTTCATTCAGGAACATTTCATGCATGCCCCCGTGACAAACGAGATATTGGATGCGAGTATGAACTGCTGGAAGAGTGTAGTTTTAATGGAATTTGATACCGCACGCCGTATGACAAAACTCAGCATTTCACGATGCAGTTGTCTGTGGTCCTTCACTGCCTTGGTAGGTGCAGAGAATAGTGTCAAACCACTGTATGTATAGACTATCCTGTTGCTAAATACATTGAAAGTCCTAAAGAACGGTAATAGTTTGATTGCGGTGTTTACATGTCTGTACTGCACTTCAATAATGCGACTAAAACGGCTAAAACTAAAATGTCTTAATTCAATTCTGTTTAGTTTGATTATGAACTTAATTGGATTAGGTTATTTAAAAATTGCTGTTCATATGGTAGACCCTTAATGAGAGTATTGTCTTAATTATATTAAAACCGAATTACTGGTGTCTATGTAACCGTATTCAATGTGTGTGACCAATGAACAAGCAGGTGAGACTTCTTAAAATATGAATCTCAACTGCGATTTTACAGAAATTCGTAACTCTTTGATTTAGTGGCTAATTGGTTTGAGTTTGCATGATCTTATTCATACAAATTAGTATGATTTGCTCAACTCCCAATGACTTTTGGGTTTTGGGGTAAGTTTTGGTGCCACGCCTTTTTTTAAAAATCATACATTTTCGTATGACTGAACTCGAACTGAACTGAATTAGCTACTAAACTGACAAAACAAAAAATAATTACGTTTCCACATGAAATCAGGCTGAACCTCACTGATGAAATCTGAATAAAATGCAGACCAAAAACATCTAAACAAGCCAAAACAGGACATGATGTTAATAGTACAAATTATCTTTACATATAAAAAATAAAAGAATAAAATTTTGCAAAAAATGTTAAAAACTTATACAGTAAAATTTTTACGCAGCGGATGCCCTTTCAGCCGCAACCCATCACTGGGAAACATCCATACACTCTCATTTACACACATACATACACTATAGAAAATTTTAGCACACCCAATTCACCTGTATACCGCATGTCTTTGGACTTGTGGGGGAAACCGGAGCACCCGGAGGAAACCCATGCGAACACGGAGAGAACATGCAAACTCCACACAGAAATGCCAACTGACCCAGCTGAGGTCCGAACCAGCGACCTTCTTGCTGTGAGTCGACCGCTCTGCTTACTGGCCACGGCATCGCAATTAATAGTAGTGGTAATATTTATTATATACATATTTATATTTATTTTAATTAAAAAACAAGTTTAGATTTACCCAAATATCGGGTTTTGGAGATGTATGCATCACCATATGCGGCATAAGAATAGGACCTGTGTTTGTATATAACTCAGTTTTTTGACCACACTTTGTTATTATTGTTCATTTATTTATTTGCTGGAAATTAGAACTGAATTTAGAAATAGTTTTGAAACAAACTATAATAAATATGTAGGCTAATGGATGTCTTTAGTGGAGTGTGTACAACACTATTTCCTTATCCACAAAAGTAATGGAATAAAGTAAAGAGTAAAAGTAAAGACAAAGTAAAGAGGCTGAATAGAGGAGGCTTGTCCACACACTGCAGATGGTCTGTTTAACTGTTTTTTCACCAGTGAAGCTTTCGGTTTTCCACTTACAAAGTCCACCATGAAAAAAAGCAAATGTGCCACGACACAACTGACTCTTAAAGGTAGTGTGAGATGAAAGAATTAGTCATTGGTGTTAAGAATTAGTTACCAATAACTATTAAAAGAATAAGCACAACCCTGTTAGACCATGCACCAGGGTCAAAGCATATTTTCCATCATTAAAATAGCAAGAGTGGATTCGAACACGCCATGCACTTTAGACTTTGCATCTAGATAGTTAAAATATTGCCCTAAGTATTTGAGAATGATTTTTTTTATTATTGTTGTATTTTGTTAAAGACCAAATTAACCTAGAGAAATAAACTACAAATGTGAGCACACACTTAAAAGACAATATGATTAACACCCAAAATGGCTTCCTTATTATGCAGTAGTTGTTCTTATTGTTCTACTTTTGTATTGTGACATAATTCTGAGTTAAAGATGATATTGAAGGAGATAAAAAATGCAAGGAGGACACTTCTGGACAGAAACTCCATTGTGTAATCCAAAAAAAATTTAATTATAACATTTTAACATACTTAGATTACAGTTGCTTTTTTTACTGATTACATAATTATTACTTATGATTAATATCTTGAAAAGTTTTCATCATATCTAGTGGCTTTCACTGACTATAATCATAAAACATATGACAAAGAATATTTCAAAGCTTTGCTTCATGTTAACTCAACACCCTTTGTGTGCCAGCGCTAATGCTAAAGTCTTTGCTTACGGATGTTGTATTTGTCGGATGTTGCAGGTCCAGAGTGAACTCAAGAGAAAGTGGCGGAGTTTGCGTTTGAAGCGCTACATCGGCCGCGACTACCGTCTGCACAGTTCCTCCATATCCAGGAACGGCACAGAAAACATGGCCCAATTCCAGCGAAACACCAGAGCCCAGTCTTTCCTGCAGACAGAGACCACCGTGGTGTGAGACATCCAGAAGCAGCGCTAGATGAATCACGCTCGCTCTTCACTGCCCTCGGCTAACAACTCAGTACTTTCCAAAAGCTTTCCGCTGAAGAGGACGAGGCTTTCTGAAGCATGAGATTGACGTGCAGGACAGACACAGAGGATTCAGAAGACCTCAAAATCTCGACTGACCACCAAAACTACACTTCAAGCCAAACCTCTGAGCGAGATGCCATTGAAAAACACTATCTCTATTGAATGCAGATCACCTATATGTTGCTTTTTGTAAATAATTTAATGGCATTAGGGTCAGATTATGTAACGGTGTTATGTAAAGGCTACTTAAGGCCCAAAGCAGTTTCTTAGACGCTTTATGAAGACGCAGCTCCATGCTATCAACATGAAAACACAAGAACATGTCTTGGATGAAAGCGAAAGTAGGTCACCTCTATGGCAAACCCAAATGTGACTTCTTTTTTTTTTTTTTTTAGAAAGTCGACGTTATTGCCAGAGGCGTCTAGATTAATTTCAGGAGAACATGTCTTACTTTAGATACACACAGACTCTAAGCTGAACTAAAAACACAGATATGAACTCAAATGTGAAGCGGTGATTGTAAGAAAAAAAGCAAAAACCTGTCCTCTGCAATGTTATATCATGGCATCATGTCATTCTGCAGCCTGTTTTAATTCCTTCAGAAGAAAAGCCACAGTATGAACCGACTGAGATATAAGGATATGTATATTCTAGCATGTGAATGTAATTCATTTCTTCGTTATTATGTCAGGAGATTTATGAATGAGTTTTATTGACCAACATGTGGCATAAATGTTAAGCTCGGCCCCCGAAAAGATCTCCAGCGATAAACCAAACCAAGCCTCGGCGTTATGAGCTCTTTTATTTCATATCCAGCTGATCAGTAATTTTAGCAGAAGGTGTCAACGGTGTTATGCTTTGCTTTTGTGTTGCCTGGCCTCACATTGTCAGGGGGATCGTACACTGCAATGAATCCTGCAGCCTGTGCTCTTTTCATTCAGCTGAAAACAGATAATTAATCCAGCAGACTGTTGGACGCAGATTTAGGTCAAGTGAACTGACAAAAGCGAGTGCATGAATGTGGCATTTCAGTGTGAGCTCTGTTCTCTGTTATTCTCTCAAACAGATTTGAACTGCGCTGCACCGGCTGTATGATCGTTTTGGAGAGGAGATGGGATCTCTTACAGCCCGGCCTGCAGAGCGAAAAGTCTCCCGGACACCACGTGCCAGGTTGAGCTCATCTGAAGTGACACAGATGCCACGGGCAGGGGCATTCGGCATCATTATCAGACTGGCAGAGGGAGGAGAGGAGACGGAGCTTTAATCAGACCTGGCACAAAGGAATTGTGTGTTGTCTGAATGAAATACTGCAGGAGGGTTTCCGGGTTTGCTGTGGAGGACGGTATGTGGAAAAAAAATGATGTAAAAACTTAGATGTGTATAAAAAGAGGCCATAACGTTGTGCACTTCTTTTTTATTATTATATTTAACCATCTGCAATGTTTTAATTGAAATGCTGTTCTTAGTTATTGCTGAATGTTTCTTGTAAACTGTATTAAGGTGTTTTTCATTAAATGTGGAAAGTGTTTTTAATGGGTTTTTAGTCATTCCCTTTATTTAGTTGGTAATTATTCTCTTTTACATCTTTGTTTACTTTAATTAACGGTACTTAAAACGAAATCGGGAAATAGTGTTGTTTTTGTAGTTTAATATGTACTTATGAACGATCCGTCTCCAATTTTTAAAGTATAAATAGTGGATTTTGTGTTTATGCTAAAATTTCTAAAAGTAAAGTTAGCTTAGTTGAACAAACTATTGACGTTTCATAGATTTTCATAAATGAATTCACATTATAAAGGACTTTTCCTATTAGTAGTTTAACTACAACACTTAAGGCCCAGATGTAGCCCATGTTATTTTAGAACAAACTGAAATAACAATTTCAAACAAAATCTTTTTTTTGTGTGATATTGTATTTTATATCAATGCAACATAGTCTCATTCTGAAAATGTAGCCCTACATACATTTCTGGAGATTGCAAATGATTTAGTTAAAAGTAGGTATGGCTGCATTTCGTCTTTCAATCGAACACTATGGGGCGGAATTTCGTTATTCCTTTTCATGCTAGCTGATTGCTTACTTGAGATGCATAGAAGAGTTGACCATGACACCGGGGTTCAAGTCCGGCGAAGAACGGTTTCTGAAAATGGGTAAACAAAAACCCTCAAACAAAAGCCAAAAAATAAAATAAACAAGTAAATAAGAGGTAAAATCTGAAAACAGTAAAAATGGGAATACCATATAAAAGCAGCGTTTGCATCCAATGAGTCAAATAGAATAAAATAGTCACTTCCTCATTAAGTGGTGCCAATTATCCAAAGTAAAAACGGAATTTGCTGGGGTAGAGGTATCCACAGGAATCTTTTCTTTATTTAATAAATGGCTTGCCCCTCAGAACACAAATGCTGACACAATGAATGAAAGGTGGTGTTTAAAGTTGTGAGATGTAAAGCATAGATCTGCTTGATGAATCTGGAGGTTATTAATAACATAATAACAATACTGAGATGGTTCATGTGTTTTAGAATGACTAAAACAACATTTCAGATGTTTTACAATGTGCTCAGCCGCTTGGGTTGTCCATTCACACACAAAACTTTTATAACAAAATCATGTGACTTCACGTGATTGCATACTGGAATTTGTTCTGTAAAAGTATTTCCATCGTAGTTTATGATCATCTTTTCTTATCGAATAAAAAATGTATCCTACTCAAATATGCACATTTTTTCATATACATTTTCAAAATGTATGCGCATCTTGGGGTTTCCATAAACCATTTTCCATGCGCATATACAAAATGCACATAAAAATAGGTGGATGGTAACATAGCTAATGTTACAAACATGAAGGCTTCAGTGTCTGCACACCTGTACAATCACTCCTAATAGGATTTTAAAGATTTGAAGGGGGTCATACACCAGACTAAATATGATCCATTTGGTGGCTGTCAGAGGCAAATAGAAAATAATGTAAAGATGTGGAGTTAACCAGAGGCGCTTCTTGTGAAGAAGCTTGTTTATAAGATATTTATGAAACAGTTCTTCTCTCACAGCCACCATTGTTGTTGTCTTTAAGGGTACACATGATTTACAACCCCACCTACTGTTGCGCAAAGGTGTTTGAAGGTTCGAAAAGAGTGTATTACTCAGCCTTTTTGCCCTTAAATCTCAAAAAAATTTTAAAAAATTAATTTTGAAATATACTGGGGCCTTTACTAAAAAAAAAATCTGAATAGGGAAGTCTACAGCAATAATAAAGAATTATATTGAGAATGAGAAGAGCAATACAAACATTAATGGCCAATCAGAATCAAGCTGAATTTAAAGAGCTTGAGCATTTAACAGCAGTACGCACATTACCCATAGTGAAGCCTCTTCCATTGACATCCATTCAAGCAAAACATCCAAAAAAAAAACTAGACCGTTAGCTTTAGCTGTCTTTGGCTAAGTGTTGCAGGTTTAGCTTTAGGCTTTGATAGTAAGCCTAACCAAATTAAAATAACGATTACTTCAAATTGTTTACTTAACATGGCTTGCATAATTTGAGATACTAATAGTATTGATAAAGTGTGCTAAAGTTGCATTTTATTTAATTGTTTTATAAAAAATGTGTGCATGAGTTTTTATTCTACACACATACTATAGACTAAAGGATGGTTTTCTTTAATAGTCTTGGAGTATTCAAAATAAACACATTTGTAAATTAGTACAATAAGTAATTCATAATGAATAAAAATATTCAAATTATGCAGGTCCAGATGCAGCCTTTGCATTGATGTTTTTGCAATATAAAAATTAAGTGGAGACACGTCATCCATCTTTCCGTAATGAGCAACGCCTGGTCTATTGGTGTGGACACTACTATCAGTCTTGGTGTGAAGGGGCATTAACACAACTAAAATTATCCCTGCCATAATTAAAATCTATTTAATACTCCAAAATAATTGGAAAGCGCGATGTAGATAAGGTTGTAAAGGTTTGTTTTTATGATCCCAGTTTATGAAGGAAACAATAAATGAGCTTCTAAATAGAGAGCAGTGAAATACGATTAGACTTCTTCCCTGCCGATCAGCTTCAGCATCAACGCAGATGATATCACACACAGATGATGTTGTTTTGACTCATTTCCTCTCCTACTGCTGTCTGTTGTCTTATCGCCTTCCTGTATCCACAAAAAGGAGTGAACACTCTTTTCCTTGGAGGCACAGTAAAGGAAACAGGAAAAACAACTCTCGTTTTCAGGCCACTGACCTCCACATCCACAGTCATTCACAAAGCACTGAGCAGATCCGTTTGCATGTGCCATCAGCTCCATAAAACAATTGAACTGACAGAATGTCACAAATGAAATTTCACGGTAAGTCACACACCCTGATTATGAAGTTTCGCAGCTTTCAGAGGAGCAGTTGTTTGGATAAAGATTAGGCCTTTGGGACAGATTTTATAGGCATAATGTTGACCCGTCGAGGGAATAAATGATGGCACATTGCCACGGCAGAGACGGTCCAGTCCTCTTCATCCAGGCCCATTAGCAGTGTTCGCTAACAAAGCAATTTCCTGCAATTAACTAATAAGTTTTGCCCAATCAAACCAATTTGATTTTAGTATTCCTGCTTCTCAGATCACAGTGCTAGTAACATACAAATTCATATTAGCAACATGCAACAAACAGAACACTAGCAAAATGAAAAAACATGCACATTGACATGTTAAAACACATAAAAAATTTATGTAAAGCCATGCACTAGTAAGCAATTATTCAAGTATTATTGTCAAAAGTCACATAACTCCATGCAAGCGATAGTGAAACATTGTAGCCATCTGTTAATTGATGCTAAAAACGTGTTAAAGCTTGTTTTTGTCATGTCTTGTGCTTTTGTACCATGTTAAATCATGTTAGCCATGATAAAATGTTTGAATCTT